TTTTTTTTTTTTTTTTTTTTTTTTTTTTTTTTTTTTTTTTTTTTTTTTTTTTTTTTTTTTTTTTTTTACGATAACTTTTTTCATTAAAGGATTGTACATAAAATGAGTGAACTTAATTATTAATGTGGTGTATGTAGTATGGGGTGGAATTAGTTAGATCAATATAGAAGGGATGGGTTTAGTAGTTTGATAATAAAAAAATAAATGGGGTGAGAATAAGCCCCCATCCTCTTTAAAATGGTTGCACATAAAACCATCATGTTTGTGTGGGTGATAATATGTGATTCTCCGTGTGTTTGCCAAGTGAGACTAGATTCCACCTTTAGGATTAGTATTGTAAAACAAACAAACCAAGATACCCCAGACAATATTGGTTACACATTAACTTTTCTGATAAATGAGTTAAATTTGAATATAATTTTAAGTTCGTTAATTTTATGGGTTTACTTTGAACGTGATTTGATAAACTAACATTTGAAAAACCTCAAGTTAACCGAGAAAGTTTTGATAAACATCATTTGATTGAGATCCGTTCATAATATAAACAAATCAAGTTTGAAATCTATTTACTTTATTTACATTATGATTGAAATCTATGAACTAAAATCAACCAAAAGGCCAAGTACATCAACATTTTCTCAATGATCTACGACTCAATTCCATCTAGATTAATATCTTAAGCGAATGAATTAGGCTCAAGAGTATGTCACCCATCTCTCACACCTAAAGTGCAATGCAACAAAGTAGTGCCCATAATTTATGGTGCACCCCCGAAAGTGTTTATTTCGAACTTGAAAACCAATTTTTTAACAAATTACTTCCGTTTTTATTTCTTCCTTCGTTTTCCTTCCTTCTGGGCGTACATAATTATAGAGTTGTCAATAGATCATTATAGAATTGTCAATAGATCATTTCATATCGGATTTTCCAATATGTCAGCATAGTGTGATGTCAAAAACAATAGTTGAGTTCGTGTAATGTATAAGTTGTGTTTAATCAGAATTGTATTGGCTCGTTAACTTGACGGATTTAACACGTACACTTTTTTACCATTTTAAACTAAATCCAAACCCACTCACCTGGTGTCAATTTCGTCTCGAGTATATGGGTAATGTGTGTAATTACCAAGCCGACAGAGTAGACCTCTAAATTTTTGCAAGACTAGGTTGAAAAGCAACAGCAGTAAGCCCATATACAAACCCAGAGAAGCCACTAAAAATACCCATCTCAGAAAATCAGATTAGTTATAATCAAGTATGTAGCTCATAGTTGTTGAAAGTGTTTCATTTGAATTACATATCAATCAAAATGTTATATTTCCTTCTAGGGATTCTTAAGCTGAAGCAACAATAATATAACTAATTCGTGATAGGATTAGGTAACTACTCAAACAATAAACTAACAGGATTGCAAACATACATGTTTCAATGACTTTGCGGAGATTGCTGCCCAAGATGTGGAGTTACCGCAGGTCCAGATGTACCTGCACTAATGGATGGCGAGACTCCATGGGGGGACTGCTCCTGGTCATGAGGAGATATAGCAGGTCTGGATGCACCAGAGGTATGTGGTTGTGCTACCACTTGTGGAGATTGCTGCTGGGGATGCAGAGCTTCAGAAGGTCCAGGAGCACCTGAACTATTTGGCAGTGTAACATTTTGGCCCTGCAAGATGATGAAAATTCTTAGTGTGCAGGAAATTAGTGTTTTCTGACATGCAAGTGATGAAACAAGTGCAAAAAGATACACATGCAAACAGAGAGAAAACGAGACTTATTTATACAAAATAATCAGAGGATTTACACAGAACTAAAACTTTGTGCCCGTGCACCCAAATCAGAAATGAGAATCTTCAAACTCAATGATATTGTATAGGGATTGAAATCCCAGAATCACTCTAACATTGTATTGCCTCAAAGCTTGCTGTTATCAAGAATATAGATGTGCGGATGCAAACCCACTACATACATGACATATGCGAGACCTCACTGCAAAATTTTGACATGGAGCTCTAAAGGACAGTTTGTATGCTCTTTCCAAGTTCTGCAAAGGTATTTATTACATGTGATATGGGGTTAGGTTAACGTTAATCAAATATGTATGTTGCATTAATTGTACAAGCACCTGCATCATCAGGCAATAACTTTACCAGTCAGAAGAATTTTATGTAAATTAAGGCTCTGTTTGGTTCTTGAAAACAAAGAGGAAAGAACAATGCAAGGGACATGAGCAAAAAGAAAAAGAAGAGAATGAAAAACAAGCAAACACAAATCAAATAATGAAAAAAAACACGTCTTTCACAAGTTTTTCCACATTTAACGTTAGAGTTGACCCACATGGCAAGAAGGAAGAAGCATAAGTATATTATAAATAGGTGATATAACATGCGTAATCATATATGAGGTTGACAATTACCCATGAGTAAGGTTTGACTAGGGATCCTAATAGAGCACTTTATAAAGAAAATTGGGTTTCTTTCACAGGTTTATATTTATCTTCACACTTTCTTTTCATCACTGGCTCCAAATGCAATGAAACAAGAAATATGAAATTCCTTATATTATACTACCTGATTTTTTACTTTGAAACAGAGCCTCTGGTAGTCTAGCAATCTATCTATATAAGTAGAACTAAAACCAACTGAAGAGATGAAACCTACTTCAGGACCTAGGAGAGCAGGAGAAAAAAAATAAGAACAAGAGAAGAAGAAGACATCAAAATACATGCACATGCTTGGCCCAAAATCTGACCCACACGTGAAACAGCTTAAGCTAACTGGTACATATCTACAAAACAGTAGTTAAATTGTGAAATAATTAGGGTTAGAAAGGAGTAGAATTAGAAGAGAAGAATTGAGAAAGGAGAGTAGTATTAGTATGTCTTAGTGTAACACATTAGTATGTCTTAGTGTTACACAGTTACATCTCAATATATATATATATATAACCACACATTACCAAAAATCCCATTAAGTTAGAAATACATAACATAACACTTCCCCTCAATAGATATCTCTTATGTTCAACTTTGAAACGATAGGATAAAAAAATTTGGTACTAAGCTCCTTTTTGAAAATAACTGTCAACTAATTTTCTGATTTCACAAAAGGCATGCAAATCAAACTCTTGTTCAGCTTCTCTTTGATGAAGTATCGATCAATTTCAACATGTTTAGTTAATTAGTTCTATTATGTTGAACTCTATTATGTGCAATGTTGATAGCTCGTTTCGAAGTACCGTTTCGGTCCGCTCAAAAATGAAAACGTTTCGGAAACGCAGAAANGCAAGGATCAAAATTTCGTTTCGAAGTACCGTTTCGGTCAACTCAAAAATAGAAACGTTTCGGAAACATTTCGAAAACGTTTCGGAAACGCAGAAAAAATATGGAAACGCATAGAAACACAAATACAATCCATTAATTTATAAAGATATGCTAAATAATTGATTAATTCAACATATTTATTGGGTTAACATCTATTTATACAAGAATAAATTTAAATTTGAGGGAAAAAAAGACTTGACATGAGGCGAAAGTCACTTAAATTAGTTTCAAACACTTAATTTTTATGAAATAAACACATTTTTACATAATATTAAGGTTTTATAATACATTTGAAATGCTAATGAGTACATACTTATATGGCTACATCCATCCCCCTGTAGAGTGTCGAGCAGGCTCATACATCGGTGTAGGCTCTGGGTAGCTACTTAGAGAAACTCCATATGTGACATAAATATAATGACAATAGTTACTCCAACTCATATTATTACGGTAATATTATCCAATTAATAATACTATTTTATTATAATACTAATAATGAAGGGTATCAAATTAAATTAATGGTACTTATGTATACTTAAAAATTAAATGTAATTGCAGTGGGTATTAAATGTAATTACAGTGGGTATTAAATGTAATTGTTAATACTTATAACCAAAAAAAAAAAAAAAAAGACTTGCACAACAGTGGGGTATTAAATATAATTACAGTAAGGTATTAAGTGTAATTATTTATTCTTATAACAAAAAAATTATAAAAAACAGAAGAGCAATGGGAATTAAATGTAATTATAATGGGGTTTTAAATAAAATTATAGTGAGTATTAAATGTAATTACAGTGGGTATTAAATGTAATTATTCATAGTGAACCGAATATATCATTGTTTACGGTCCGAAACAGTGTCGTTTCAACCGAAACACTGGAATTTTGTGATTCAACTACTGTTTCGTTTCGGAGTGTTGAAATTCCGAAACGTTTCGGACGTGTCGACACGACATTTTGATCCTTGATTATCACAGACTCATAGTAGAGTCTCATAGACCCATCATCATGGATTTCGAGTTCACACGGTAAAATTTGGAGACACATAAGCTCACAAACACGATGAGTCATTGCTCCTATATTCAGCTTATGCACTCGGCCTTGTTACCACCGCTTGCTTTTTACTTTGTCATGTGACAGTGTTTCCTCCTATCAAGGTACAATAGCCCAAAGTGGAGCTTCTATCATCCACTGAACCTACCCAGTCTGCATGAAAACGCTTTAAGTTTCAAGTGTCCATTATTGGCGAACAGAATCCCTTTACCCAAGCTGAGCTGAAATACCTCAAAATGCAATAAACATATTCAAGATGAGGAGTTCGAGGGTCATGCATGAATTGACTTGTAACCCCCACTACATAAGTAATATCCGTCCAAGTATGAGAGATATACCAATCTCCCCACTAATCTCTGGTACCTCTCTTTGTCCACAGTATCACCACCACCATTATACCCAATAAGAGAATTTGTAGGTCTGCATTCCAACATACTTGTTTCTTCTAGTAGGTCGAAAACATACTTTCTCTGGGAGATAAAAATGTCTTTATCTGATCTACAACTCAATCCCAAGAAAATATCTCAACTGTCCCATCAGTCAGTTGCTTGACAGTGAATACCCATTTGCACTTAATTGCCTTTGCTCCGACAGGAAGAGAAACTAAATCTCATGTGTCATTCTTTTTCAGAGCTCCCATTTTCATAGCTTCTCTCCACTTTGGATCAGTGAGAGCTTCCTTCCAACCCTGAGGAATAGTTATAAAAGATAAATAGGAAACAAAAGTACAATAGAATGCAGATAAGAAATCATAAGCGACAAAATTAGAGATAGGGTGTTAAGTACCAGCTCGAACACCCTTTCTAATTGCAGTAGAAAGCTCAAAGCCATCAACAGTTGGATTATTAATAATAGGAGTGGTAACTAAAAGCTCATTACCTGGTAAATCAATAGGACATGCTAGAACTAGAGTGGGGAAATTCAACAAACCCAGTGGCACATGAGTAGTTTGTACCTTCTAACACCAAGAATAAGTCTCCGAGATGCTAGGTGGATCATTAGTACCAACAACCTATTATTCCCCCTGACTAGTAACCCACAAAATAGGCCATTGAAGAAGGGGTCCTTGACACACCATTTGTTCCCCAATAGTGGTGCTCTCCCTCTGAAGAGATGACTGGGAAGGAGAAAAAAAGGACTCAAGCTCATGACACGTAACATCCATGCTAACATACGTCCTCTTTGACTGTGAATGGTAGCACTTATACCCTTTTTTGGGTTGGAGAATAATCAACAAATACACACTTCAAAGCCTTAGGATCAAGTTTCCCCTTAGAGGATCTGTAGTCATGTATAAAATAAACACACCGCTTAAAGGTAAACGATTAATAAGATAAGCAACCATCAGAACTGCATCTCCCAAAACATGCAGAGGGACACTCATAACAAACATTAATGAGTGAGCAATCTGAAGAAGTTGATGTTTTTTTTCACCTGGTAATACTAGTTTGTTTTAGTGTACTCATACAAGTGGTTTGATAAAGAATGTCACTCTCATTGAGGTAAAAGCGAAATTCCCCATCAATGTACTCAGATTAACTATCACTTAGAAGGATTTTAATTTTGGTATCAAACTATGTATTCACCATTTTATGAATAGATCAAAAGAAAGAGAAAACTTCATTTTTAGTGCAGAGTAAGTGAACTCAAGTCAAGAATAACAATTAATAAAATTGACAAATTAATTATAACCAAAGAGAGATACAACACAAGAAAGTCCCCACACATCATAATGAATAATGACAAAAGGAACAGTATTTTTATTATTAGTACTAGGATAAGATAAGCATTTGTACTTGACAAATTTGCAAGCATCGCAAACAAATGCTCCTTTCCAAGACACCAAAAAAGGAATGTCCCAAACGTTTGCGCCATTGATGTAAGAGCTGAAGGGCCAAAATACCATCCGCCTAGAACTCTTGACAACTAGACTGAAGAGAAGCTTCATCATCCATGGGATACAAACCACCATGTGCTCTATTATTATCAATCCTTTTTCCTGATTCTAGTTTGTGAAAAGTACAATGAATTAGACAAAAGTTATTGAACAATTCAATGATTTGGTAATACTACTAACAAACAATAAGTTAGTGGAAAAATTTAGAACATGGAGAACCGAGGAAAGGGATAAGGTAGATGAGCAATTAATTGAACATTTTCCAGAAATAGAGGAGGATTCATTTGTCACCTTGAATTTATCCCTCCCAGAATATGTAGAATAAATACGAAGAGAAAAGACTAGAAGAATAAGTCATATGGCCCATGGCTCCAAAATCTATTATCCAAAGAGTATATGAGGATGACGTATTAAACACACTGGCCTGTATGAGCAAAGTTGAAAGAAAAGGCATATGATTAGGAGCCATAGTAGAAGGAACATTAGGTCGAGCCATCAGACACCCGAGAGTTTGCATCTCATCCTGGAAAAAAGTAGAAGTAGTGTTGCCACTAGACTGAGACTCCGTCTCCGAAGATTCACTCATGTGTGCATGAGAACACACATTACCACCGCAGCCACCACCTCGCTCACATGCTGGAAGCACAATCAACTTTCAACAAAATTCCCTTGCATGCCTTGTCTTCCCATAATAATCACACTTCAAAGTGTCCTTAGCAATAGTGTCATACTTGACTCAGTCAACTTAGATAGGATTGGGCCCAAGTCCCGCTGAGGAATTACGACTGATGCAAACTACTCTGGAATAGATGCATGATCCATAACAATCTTCTTGTTGAACATAAATATAGGTCTCTCGTAAGGTAGGAAGTGAGCTACGACCCAAAATTTGAATCCGAATCTGATCATATTCAAAATTTTCTACTATCTGTTGAAATTTTATAGCATCATTAATACAATTTGTCAAGAGTAGTCAAACGCCGGCCACAAGGTAGTCACTACTGTATAGTATACCGCAAGAGGCTTATCCTTCTGATTAGTCTTCCGAACTTTCTTCCGGAGATCATATGCCTTGGCATCATTACCCCTATGAGAATATTTGAGTGACACAGTTGTCCAAATCTTATGAGTTGTATCAAGTAAGATGAAACCACGACCAATAGACGGTTGTATTGAATTAAGCAACCACAACATCACAAGATATTTTCAAATGTCCACTATTTTAGTGGGGAACCAGAATCAGTGGGTATTCTTAGTCTCCACAGTCAAATATCAATCCAAAGGGATGACACGTACCGATAACAAACAAGTTTGTGACCACGCTAAATAATTGTGCCCATCCAATTTCTCTGAACTAATTAGAAGAGACGGGTTATTTGAAAGAAACCTAGACGGCTCAACCCATTTCCTGTTGTACTCCCACCAACAGTAGTAGAGGTTACACTTGCTTCCGACATGTCCACACAATGGAACCAACACAAAACAAGGCAGTCGCGGGAAAAACAGTCAAAATATTGATTTGTAACCAGAATAGTTGCTTAGCAGTCCCAAAGGAGATCCTACTATGCACAAGAGAGGCCAAATTAGGGTGGGTGCCAGAGTAGAGAAAGAGCCAACAGTGGCTGTAGCCTGTCGGTAAAGAGATGAGGCCAAAAAACCTCACAAATCTACTCCAAAATGCAACAAGGGCACCTGGGAATCATACATATGCCCTAATCGAACCTTAACAAGCAAGTACGGGGTCAAAACAACTCAAAACCAAAGCAAAATTCTTGTAAAAATCTGAAATACTGTAGCCGAATCTCCAAAAAACTAATCCCCAAATCGATCAAATCTCAACAAAACTGCAGGAGTATAGTAAATCTACCTTCACATAAGATCCAGTGAGATCAAGCCCAAAACCCAGTCATAACCCCCCCCCCCCCTCCCAGATCACAAATCTGAGGGTCTTCTTTGAAAATCAGAAAAAAAAAAAATTGAAAAATTAAAAAGGCCTTCAAATGATTCTAAAAAATTCCAGAGAAATCACCATAATTCTCATGGCATAGAGTCGATCAACCCAGAAAGAACTCAAAATTTTCTGACACCATGCTGATGTCAGCATATCAAAAAGCTGACATCAGCCACTCTGCAGATTTGATAATTTCCGATAATTTTTGACAAATTTGAGACTTCAAATTTAAATCGTAGCTTTGATACAAAGTTAAATTTTGAAATAATTAAGGTTAGAAAGGAGGAGAATTAGAAGAGAATAATTGAGAAAGGGGAGTAGTGTGTAGGGTTAAATAGTTACATCTCAATATATATATATATATATATAATCACACATTACCCAAAATACCCTTAAGCTAGAAATACATAACATAACAATAGTTTGATAACTGTTTAATTGTATAAAACCTGGCGCATTGGTCTATTTGAGAATATGCAACATACTTCATTATTGAATAGCAATTACTACACCTAATTTGGCCGACTGCTCATCCTCAACAAACAAAAGTGTATATAATTAATCATTCAAAAAAGAATTAGATAAAAAAATTTCAAAGAGGTACCTGTTGATACTGGCTCCTGCTCTGCATTGCAGAAGTAATGTTCTGACTGTAAAGCAAATCTTCTTCATTTTTCTGCTGCTCCTGTGGCCACTGATGTTGTTGATTCTGCTGCTGCTGTTGCTGCATTTGCTGAAAAGCCAGAGATCCTTGTTGCTGTTGCACTTGGTACTGCTGCAGCAGCAGCTGATACTCTTCTTGATGTTCGTTGTATGCAGTCCCTTCCAATTGATAATATTGCTGCTGCTGACCTTGCTGTAGCTGCAGCTGTTGTGCAGCTTGTGCTAATTGCTGATACTGCTGTTGCTGTTCCTGTGGCAGGTAGAGTACATGATGTTGTTGCTGAAGTTGCTGTGGCTGATACGATGATGGTTGAACCTGTTGCGGCTGAATGTAGTATTGCTGTTGTGAAAGTGGCAGCTGCTGTTGATTCTGTTGCTGCTGCAGTGGCTGAAGCTGATGCTGTTGGTATGGGGCTGGATGCTGCTGTTGAAGATAGGGCTGCTGCATTTGCAAAAGCTGGTTCTGATAATGTTGTTGGAGAAGCTGCTGCTGCTGCTGGTAATGATGTAGCAATATCTGGTTGTATTCTTGGCTATTCTGCATATGCCCAAGCTGCTGACTACTGAAAGTAGGATACTGAGACATCTGTCCTTGAGTGTAAGAAACAGGTGGGGGCGTCATTTGTGCTAGTGATGGAGATACGAAGCCCTGCTGTGACATATTAAGCTGTGCCCAGGCATGAGCAGATGGTAAATTCCCCTGAGTAGCACTTACCTGATACAGATTTTGTGCTTGTGTACCCTTCAGTTCTTGTGAAGTTTGCGAACCCAAATGATGATGGGGATAACCTTGACTCGTGGCGCATGTTTCAGCAGATGGGTGTTGTTGCTTTGGAGAATCCTGCTGTTGTTGACCCTGTTGATCTTGTGGACGCTCATGAAACTCAGAACTTGCACTTACGGAAGCTGTAACCATGTTATACGTTTGATGCCAGCTTTCACTGCTATGTGAAGTACCCTCTAGCTGTGAATGTAGTCGTGTTGTGGTAGGATCCTGATGACTTGCTGAAGATGAGGGACCTACTAACTCATTTCCATCTGATTTGTTCTCGAATTGAGCATAATCAGCAGCTGGAATGCTGTTCGGGCAGGCCATAGAAAGATCTCCCTTAGCATTCTGGCAATCCTCTAGTATTCTTCCATTAGAAGTGGAGATTTCTTGTGGTACGTCTTCCTCCCTAGATGCCATAGTCAGTAATTCTTGGGTTTCCTTCCACTGAAAATTTGAGGAAATACTCTTCGACAAACACTGGTTCAGATGCTGACCAAATTCATGGTCACGTTCCTGCTGAATATTGATTAAATCAGAGTACACTTGTGAACCTTCCAAAGGTGCAGTTGGCCCTGATGGCTGCTCCGCCTCATAAATTGACTCATATGGTCCTGGTGCATCTTCACCAGATTGGAGAACTAAATCTTGACTTGACTCCACTGATCCATATATACCTTCTCTAGGGTGGTTTACAAAATCAGGACTTGAATCAATTGGTCTAGACGCATCATCTCCAGATTTATGTCCAGAGTCATGGATTAATTCATTTACTCCAGATTCATCATCTCTGAATTGTGTTGCAACTTTACGCGGTGACTGTTGCTTTCTCTCCTGTGCACTGTTGTTATGGTCTTCTGGTTGGGTCTGGTCTGTCAAAACCTGGTCAGGCTGGATGGTTTGATTTTTTGGCAGTATTCGTTCCTGTTCTTGCAATGCGAGCTGGGCTCCATGGGCAGAACCATGGCCTCTGTCTTCCAGAAGCAAAGCAAAAGGATTGCTATGTCTTCCTTCCATGGTCATGTTCAACAATTGGCTACCTGTGGTGGGGCTCTCATATGCAGGGGCGGTCCTTGTCAAGTGTGGAAACAATTTCATGTGACGATGCCATGCCTTGTTCACATCATGGATAGTTCCACAGAGGTCAACAAACTGCTGACAGAATAGAGTTTTGTACATTAGAGGAACATAGACAATTATAGAAACCTACAACACAACTCTATGTAATGTCTGTTCAAGAAATAAAAGTAGTACTGCCACTTCAATTGCTGTCCTTGCCTTGGATGCACAACTCAAATGATTTCTATAGTACCACAAGAATAAATAGCAGAAACTAAGAAGATTCAAAGAAAAAAAACAAAAAAAAATTGAAACAATGCATTTTAGTTGTAATACGCAAATTGAGGAAGAACTATAGGTAGTATCCAAATGAAAATTGTATTCAAATCCACATAGCATTTCTTCCCAATTCAAGAACGTATCTTCAACCTCAGACATGTTCAAGCAACCAATTATTTGTCTTATCTACACCAAGAAAACACTTTGGCCCATATTTCCAAGTGTTTCCTTCTATCTCCAAACTTCTCACTATTTCATTTTTGTTTTCTGTTGACAAGGAAATGAGATCCAATTCTGATACTTGCATTTGACTAGTTAAACATGTATGATACATAGATAGATACACAGGAGTGAAAAAAAATAGCAAATAGAAGAAAGACAAACATGAAGGAATGCCACTCGTTTGTATTTTGGTGGGATGGAGGGCTGTCTGTGACCTATAGTTTTTGGGCATCATCCACGAGTTGTCCTTTGATTTCTGTTTTTGTTTCACTGTTTTTGCATTTTTCCATTTGAAGTTTGGACTTCTTGTCCACCCTCTTTTCTTTTGATGTACTTTATTCTATATTATTAATAAAATGAAGGTTTCTCATAAAAAAAACTCAAAAAATCACAAAGATTTGAGAAATTTATCAATTTTCCCCAATCATTTACATAGCCAGTGCAGTGAAGAATAATGGAAATAACTTCAGATAGAAACTCTAACCTCCAAATATAAGCATGATATTTCCTCTCGATCTTTAGTGCTCAAACCTTGGGATGCATCTGGCCCAGGGGATATTGCACTGGCAATGATGTAGTCAACTGTATTCACTTGTCTTGATCCTTCATGCATCATTGCAAATTTTATCAACTCCTGCAGATATAACAGCCATCAATTATTTTCCTTTGGTCCTCAGATTAGGTGGTAGTATGAAGTCCAGTGGGTACTAGGATCAAACCTTGCCAGCTATTCCTTATTATTACAGCAAAGGATTAGTCATCTAAAGTCCAATAATACACTATACATGGAACAAGAACAAAGATACCTCTAGTAGTAATCTGCAGAGAGGCACATGTTGTATACCATCAATTATTACATCTCTAGCAGCATCTACACTACCAGTGATCTGTTGACCAGATAAGAGAAAAAATTAGAAGAGGGAAGTAATGGTTGCCTCCTAATCTCATGACTTAAAAAATAATAAATAACTCTTAAGTCTTCCGGTTGAAAACAGATTTTGGCAAAAGACCAAGAAGAACAATATTCATATAGACAAGAAATTAAGAGGCATATTTAAATTGCCTTGAAGAACAAGTCAGATGTTAAAACATGTTAATTTAATATGTGTGATGCAAAAAGGAGAGGAATAGAAAAAGAAGAGAATAAGGGGAGGTTTATCTCATCCTCGCAAGGAATCGGTCAAGAAACACAAATCTCCACAGAGAAAATAATCAATTTATATTCATCAATCTAATTCAAATAATTGGGATTACACCATTACCTACCCAAATAAAAAGTACTCTCCAGCTAAAACTGTATCTAAATTTCCTAATGAGATGATTATTAGCTAACCAAATAATCTAATAATAAATTAAATCTAATCCTCAATTTTATGTATGTCCAATCCCTTTACGATCTCTATCAATTCTCCTCAGCTTCAACAAACTGTTCTCCGAAAAGTTATAAAGGTAGAGGAACTCCAAGAGGTCTGAAGAAACTTGTATTCCAACAAAATAGTCATGTAGATCCCCATAATAGAAAACAATGTCTTGATGCTTCCCATTCTTTACGGTCTTGTCCATATACACTAATTTAGGTGAAGGAAGCATATAAACTGGCGGAAACAAAGTAGCAACTCAATCTGCAGTGACACCCTTTGAATTTTGTTTAATTTTATCAGTAGGAACATCCTTTGAAATCGGTTTATCAAAAGCAATTGATGTATGGTGAAGAGAACTTTTAGGCTCATCCATGGAGAAACTAATCAATTTATATTCATCAATCTAATTCAAATAATTGGAATTACACAATTATTTATAGGACAAATGTCCTACCTAAGAAATTAATCAATTCATATTCATCAATCTAATTCAAATAATTGGGATTAAGCCATTATTTATAGGACAAATGTTCTACTCAAATAAAAAGTACTCTCCCGCTACAACTATATCTAAATCTCCTAATGAGATGATTATTAGCTAACCAAATAATCTAATAATAAATTAAATCTAATCTTCAATTTTATGTCTATCCAATCCTTTTATGATCCCTATCAATGTGTAGTCCTAATAAGCCTGAATCATATAACTAGTCTTCACTATAATATACCTCTTAAAGTATCCAACTCAAGACCAAATGACAACGAGTGGAGCTCATATGTAAGCATGGATGGAGGCTTTACAATACTGATTCGGGCAATTCTACAACTTCCTCTCACGTGTGACCCCAAACCACACAAGGTGGAGAGATCCACATCCAAACGTAACATACGAACATATTTAATTAACAATATAACATACTTAAGAAACAAGGAATTGACACTTGACCAATGGGCCATCCTAAAATCTAGCTTCTAGCTTTAGTATTAAAGCATCCAACTGAAAAACCAAGTGGAAGTAAGCTGAGATTGGAGAGGCCTACAAGGCTCACACACTAGAATGGAAGGCCTTACAATACTGATGTGGGACAAGCACAAACAATTTCTACATAGACAAACATGTATTCCTAAAATATCAGAAAATTAATATGGTGCCTACTAAGGCAAGAAGAAATCTTCTGAAGTTTAAGCACTTATAAAGCTAAATTACATTGCATTATGAATATTTTATGGTTGTGATATACATGCTAGTATTTTGAGTTTTATGTACAAAATGTGGGTTGTTTTCCTTGCACGTATTTCGTCAAGCATGTTAGAAAGGGATATTTTTTTGCTATTTGGGATATTTTCTTTTGAATAGAACTTCTTGGCTATGCATTGTTATCAATGTCTTATGTAAGGGATGTGGTATATCTATTTGCTCGGGGTCAGTTTCTATATCATTGACAGGAACCCTAGAGTATAGGGTCTCAAAACAAGTTTTCCGAAAATGTTTCATTTGCCAAACTAGAGTTACTGTGTCGCTGCCTAGTAGTCGATTTGATGGTTGTGTAACTTTTATGGTTAATTCTTGGTGTTATGATCATTTGAATTTTTGCATAATAGTTTTGCATTTGTATGTTGCCACACTCTTAAGTGTGGCAACTTCTAGCGTAACTGCAATTTTGGGTTCTGAAATCATATGTGATAGGTAACAAGTACTAGACTTTTCAATTTGAATGTCTAAAAGTTTGAGGTCACTCTTAGTGAAGAGAAGTGGGTTGATTTGCCATATTTAATCTTGAGATGCTATTGGAAATTGGCTAGTGTTAGTTTCAGTTAATATTGAGTTGTAACTCAGCTTAGATGCATTGTTTGAGACAGCTTAAGAAAATCATAGGGCCACTGTCATGTATTTTGAGATTGTGACTGCAATCGCGCTTAATAATGTCAGCATGTATTATTAGTATGATGAAGAGTTAACCTCATAATCTTGATCTTCATGTGAATTTGTTTTGGGTGCTCATCATGTGTATCTACTTGGTGATCTCTGAGACCTGACGTTGAGGTTCTTTGATATAATCTTTTATGAAGGGGATGTATTGGGATGCGAATTTAGTATGCTATGTCCAGATGTTGTATAAGATATTGCATAAACATATAAGAAATTTTAATGTAAATCCGAGGTTGGCTTCTATAACTTGTGAATCTTTGGGAATTCCAGTCAATAAAGTTTCAATTATTGGGCCTTTGTTTGTAAAGGTAAGTTTATTAATTTCATAATGTGTAAATAATTTACTTAATTACACAAAAATCCCATCTGAAATCTGGGGTGTGACGGTTGTCTAAAAGAAACAACTCTGCAACCAAATCATATGTTTTCTCATTTATCCCACCCTGCCCTTTAGAAAGGTCACTTGGCATTCCTTATTGCTAGTAATACGTAGTAAGTCCTAGGATGACTTCTGCCTGAAACAGTATAATACACATCAGTGCAAAATCATAAAACAAAATTTCAGGAGATATGTAGATATGTGGTATCAATAGATTGATTTTTAGTTTACCAAAAGCTACTATTTGAAGACAGAAACATATAGGCAACTTAGAATTAATCAGGACTTGATGCTAAGAAGTGGGTATGTGCGAACTGCATACCATGTACTTAAGCCGGGAAAAATAGATATACAGATTGGGAACAGCATGCAATTTCTTTCTCTCTGCTGCCATTTCAAGTGCTTTCTCATATACATTAGAAGCTGCCTCCAAATTTCCCTGAATTTTTGGACAAGCAATTATAAATAACAGCCCTCCACGTGTACGAAATATGCAAATCCGATTACATACCAGGCGCTTTTCCATATTAGCTTCCTTTATAACATTTTGAATGAAGTTAGAATTAAATTCTGTATCACACCGAAGAAACGCAGCACGAGCATTATGCACGTCCTTTATTTGTTCCTTAAACCTTGCGTTGAAGAGATTGATTGCCGGAACATTCTGCAACAAACATTTGACAACCCAAAATCACATCAAGTCATGCATAAAGCAATCGAGTAAATGTTAAAATAAGACAAGTCTCCATATGAAATAGCATGTCTTAAAATCCCTGAGTGTAGGATAATAAATCAACACCATCCCTGCAAACTTTTACCCAAAAATTCATTATTCTACTCAAGTATCAGAGATGGAATGAATCCCATTCATGACCAATCCATTGGCAAGTTTAAATATGCAGACAATCTTGACAAACTAAGTAACAACACGCATGTTTGTGCAGTAGATACGTGCCCAATAACTTTTTCTTCCCCTTTCCCCCTTTTTTGTCCTTTGTGATTGAAAGCATACCTTCAAAAATGTTTGAGTTGCTCGATGTAGAGCAAAGTTTGCTAACTCTCGTCCTCCTTTAGTCTCCATGAATTCCACATAACGCATCCAGAACTCCAGGTAATTGGCACAGATAATTAAGCATTTCTCATAAAGTTTCACAGCCTGCAAGTTTACTGCTCTCAGTATGGCATATTTAGGCAAACTTCCACATGAACCATAATGAATTAGGGCGTACCCAATCAAAATCCTCTTGATTCTCAATAAAGTCCAGATAGTGATGCCAATTTCTTAGTTGATTTTCATCAAGTGGCTTAACATGGAAAAAAGGCCTCCGGATACAAGTTTCAAAGCACTGTATTTTTCCTTCCAACTGACATGCTTTCTGATAGAAATGCTCTCCAATAGATGTATAATTCTGTAGTGCTTTGATCCTAAGAGAACCATCAGAAGGATCCTCAATGTCCTTGATGACTCTGGAGATTTCATCTTCACGTATTGTGATCGCTATGTCAGGAACAGGTACTGACTGTACTTCATCGCTGCAATTTTTCTGGCATCCCATCTCCTCTTTCAAAATGGCAACAATTTTCTTAAAACTGAAGAAAGCATGGAATCAAAGCATATTGTTCAAAGTATTGACCTGTTGAATAAGCAGATGCAAACTGACAACATAAAAACAAAAGCATAAAAGCAAACAGCATGTTTCTTTTGGGTCTAAAAGCAAACAAAGCATGCATGTAAAAAATGTGGTGATACCAGCAAAAAGAAAAAATGAAGACGAATGTTTGGATATAGTTGAAGTATAAATACTTAAAGTTACAACCTCTCCAACAACTTAAGCTTTTAGAGAAGATGGTTGTTTAACATGATATCAGAGTAGAAGGTCCTATGTTCAATTCTTGCTGCCACCCTAATTACTAAAAGTTTTTTACGTGTTAGGCCCAAAATCTAAATTGTGTGGGACATGTTGAAGTACAAATACTTAAGTTACACCCTTTCCTACAACTTCAGCTTTTGGAGTAGATGGTTTTTTAAACAGATATAACATCATAAAAACAAAGCATGTTTTTTATACAAGTATCATATAAAACTTAAGAATATTACATTGCCGGATCAAATGATGCAATTTACCGTGTACATGGATTTACATGCATGCTCTCATATGCATCCATGCACAGAAAATTTTGGGTCTAAGCAATATTTTAGATTTTGGTCAAATTAAATCCAACTGAGTTGGTCATTGATAGCTTGCTTTCACGATCCTTTATGCTTGCACCTGTACATGACCGGAAGCATGCGATTACTACAAAAGCAACCAATAATACCCACAATCCAAAAGAAAAGACAAAGTGATCTTATTTATGTGTGGGCATGTTGGTACGTGAGTGAGCAACATTCACCTACTGCATAAGCGGTGATAAAACATGGGGACAATAGTTATAGCAAAATTTCATTGCTAAAAGTCAAGGGAAAGATTACAGTAAAATATAAGAGGAGCAAACATACTTATCATAATAGCTATGCAACCTTTTTGACGGAAATCTCAGAGTTTGAATGTAAATGTGAGCAAGGGAGCTCCACTGTTGCTGAGAAGAAACAAATTTGATGTATTTGTCCCATAAGGTATGACATAAATAATCCTTGCCAACGAAGGACACTGCTCTTCCAAATAATCTGTCAGATAAATTCCAAATGGTATTATTCATTGTGATTAAATCGCAATATTTTCCTAGATGATGCAGAGCAAGAAGCATTTAGAAGCTATTTGAGAAAAAAAACTACCAATTGACTAAAATACTATTTGGAAGCTAGTTGCAAACTAAGTTTCTAATATCTCAAGCCAGTTGCAACTTACGTTCACCCACACCAGAACTACAAGAATGCCAAAATATTTCTCCTTAACAAACGGTGGGTGGGTATTTCTGTTTGTATTAAGTAGCATTTGTAACATGGCCATGAGTTTCTTATTATCATGAACATTTATAACCTGAAAGCTGAAACCAATCACCATACTTTCTATTTCTCTTCCTGCTATAACCACGAGGAGTGTTATTGATTAATCAGAAGTACCTAACACACATAGGTCCAATAAATCCAAAGTAACATGAACTTCTCATGAGTCAGTCGCATTATTGAACAATCTTCCTGCAGTATGATATATCCGAAGACTGCATTCATGTTACACCAAACGCATAAATAGGTAATTCAAATCTTTAGAACCCAAAGTTTTTGAAAGCTCATTCAAGTTCTGAAATTACCTATGAACATCAGATGGATCCTCAAACACAGAGATACTGAAATTACAATAGTCGACCCACAAAGCAACACAATATGTTACAGTTTCCACAGCTTGTTCAAAGATTTCAACAGCCTTCTCAACACTGCATAAGCGTGTGTAGTGATCTGCATACCTCCTCCAGTACACATGGCACAATGGATACTTGGACAAAAAAGAGTTATACACTGAAGAGATTTTCTCTATGTTATCCTGCAGTAATTACAGAGAAGATTTTATTTGCATGGCATTCCTATAAACTGACGAAATTCATAAAACATAAAACTAGTAGTTAGAGCAAATGAAGTGGACCAAAACAAAATCAAAAAGAAGGTCAATGTACATAACACTCAAAACTCTTTTTCCCTAACAAAATTACATCATATGTGCACCATTTCAGCATATGTTGGCAAACATAGAGGGCAGAGCTTTCTTAGCTAGTCAATGCCTTATGAAAGGGTGAGGAGGAAGGCTTCTGTTGAAACTCAGATAATTAAGTATTAAGGTTTAAGGTTTAGGAGAAAGAAGAGAAAAGAGAAGAGAGAGAGAGAGAGAAAAAGATTAAGAAAATAATGTGTGTAAGCCATGTGCCTTACACCCTCTTATTAATAATAAACTGATATTATGGGTAATTACAATATTACCCTACACTACTAATAATATAACATAAGAACTCTAACAGCTTCATTGAACAACTACAAAGTTAATTACTATGCTCTCTCTCACTTCTCTTTCCTCTCTCTCTCTTGCATATCAGAAGAAAAACCTACAACTTTTTAACGATTTTGCCTTAGAATCCACTAAATCGTAACTCTACATTCATAATTACCTTGGAACACTGATACAAGACATGGATGGGGAAAGACATTGGGAAGCAAGTTCATTACAAGAGATTTTTTTCCTGTTCATTGAAACTTATGATTCAGTAGTCACCCATGTTACATGGACAAGGACATGCCAACAATAGGTGTATGCATGTGCCAAATTCTCATTTACAACTATCACTTTTAGAGCTTAGTACATGTACACTTATAGTTCCATAGATGAAATTGAGATGACTATTGTTAAAACAGATCGTATTTCCATATACAAGGTTTTGTAGATCACTTGTTGGCAGCTGTCAGCAAGGATCGAAATTTCGTTTCGAAATACCGTTTCAGTCAGCTCAAAAATGGAAACATTTCGGAAACGCAGAAAAAATATAGAAACGCATAGAAACACAAATACAATCCATTAATTTATAAAGATAAGCTAAATAATTGATTAATTCAACATATTTATTGAGTTAACATCCATTTATACAAGAATAAATTTAAATTTGAGGGGAAAACAAGGCCTAACATGAGGTGAAAATTTCTTAAATTAGTTTCAAACACTTAATTTTTATGAAATAAACACATTTTTACATAATATTAAGGTCTTATAATACACATGAAATGCTAATGAGTACATACTTATATGGCTACATCCATCCCCTGTGGAGTGTCGAGCAGGCTCATACATCGGTGTAGGCTCTGGGTAGCTACTTAGAGAAACTCCATATGTGACATAAATATGATGACAATAGTTACTCCAAATCATATTATTACGGTAATATAATCCAATTAATAATACTATTTTATTATAATACTAATAATGAAGGGTATCAAATTAAATTAATGATACTTATGTATACTTAAAAATTAAATGTAATTGCAGTGGGTATTAAATGTAATTACAGTAGGTATTAAATATAATTACATTAGGGTATTAAATGTAATTGCTAATACTTATAAAAAAAAAAAAAAAAAACCAAAAAACTTGCATAGCAGTGGGGTATTAAATATAATTACAGTAGGTATTAAATATAATTACAATTAGTATTAAATATAATTACAGTAGGGTATTAAGTGTAATTATTTATTCTTACAACAAAAAAATTATAAAAGGTATTAATGTAATTACAGTGGGGTATTAAATATAATTATAGTGGGTATTAAATGTAATTATAGTGGGTTATTAAATGTAATTATTCATAGTGAACCGAAAATATCATTATTTCGTCGAATCGGTACTGTTTCGATCAAAACGGTCCGAAACAGTGCCGTTTTGACCGAAACGGTCTAAAACAGTACCGTTTTGACCGAAACACTGGAATTTTGTGATTCAACTACTGTTTCGTTTCAGAGTGTTGAAATTCCGAAACGTTTCGGACGTGTCGACACGACATTTTGATCCTTAACTATCCGAGAAGTGATAGAAAGCAGAGCAGTCAAATTGTGCAAGGTACAGTTATTGTTAGGTCAATACCTAGTCTTTTAGACTAAAATTGTTTGAGAGTAAAAAAGATGTACAAACTGAGTGCAGAGTCCTGTATATATAGCCAAATAAAAGTGCAACTAACCAGAACACCCCTTTGTTCCGGGTAAGACAAAAAAATCATAGAAAAGGCAAAAATCACAAGGAATAAAAACTAATAACTAAACTATAATTCCAACACTCCCCCTCAAGTTAGGCGCAAAAATATCAATTAAATCAAGTTTGACAATAGAGTCCTGAAGAATGGATAGAGTGACAGGGTTAGTGACGATATTCGCAACCTGATCACTAATCCCCAAAAACGATAAGGTGAGAGTACTGTAGTTGACCTTCTCCCAAAGAAAGTAAACATCAATCTCAATATGCTCCGTCCTCTTGTGTAGTACAGAATCAGTGTTGGGATTTAACACGATTTAAATCCACTAACAAACACACACAATCGAAGAACAAATCAAGAATATAAAGCAATAAGAAACAAGAAAGAACAAGACACAGATTTTACGTGGTTCGAAAATTTGCCTACGTCCACGAAGCTGCAGGGATTTCACTATTGAGAGAGTTGAATTACAGAGATTTTACGTGGTTCGGCCCAAGCCTTCGCTCCATGGACTAAACCTCAAAAAATTTTCCATTAAAAAACCACACAACATTATTTCGGGTCGGGTCATCATCCGGATCACATATACAAACTAGACTCCATAAAAAAAAACCAACAATCAGAAGCGACCTAAATAGCATATCGGTTATCACAATACAATGTAGATTGAGAAGTCACTAGAAATCCCAACTCACCAAGGATAGATGGTAGCCAGATAACCTCACATGCACTAAGTGCTTAGTGCTAAGTGCCAAGTGTCAGTACCCGATATTTTGTCTCTGTTGATGAATGGGATACAATTGTCTGTTTCTTGTTCTTCCAAAAGATAAGATAAGTCCCTCAAAAAGCACAAAAGTCCGTAGTAGATCAACCGTCACAAGCTCCCTCAAAAGTAGATCTACAAAAGGGATTCGACCCATCTCAAAAAGTCCCTAGTTGCTCCAACCCTAGGGAAAAGAGAAACCAGTAGTGCTGACTGTTGGAGAGAAGCACGAAGAGGTGGCAGGCTAGTGGCGCAGTGGTGAACTGGAGGCGCAGTTGCGAAGGAGAGCGCGAAGCTGCCGTTAGCACTGGTGTTGGTGGTTGTCGCTGGCACTGGTGGCTGTAGGATTGGTGGGTGGCATCGCCTAAGAGGTGTGTCGACTAGTGAAGGTGTGGAGACTAGTGGGTGCGCGAGGTGGTGAGCAACGACAGCTAGGGTTAGGGCTTGGCTCTGATACCAACTAGAATTGTTTGAGAGTAAAAAAGATACACAAACTGAGTACAGAACCTTGTATATATAGCCAAATAAGAGTACAACTGACCAAAACACCCTTCTAGTCTGGGTAAGACATAAAAACCATAATAAGGGCAAGAAAAGACAAAGAATAAAAAGCTAATAGCTAGACTATAATTCTAACATTTAGTACCCCACATAAGCATTGAGTAATGAACTTTATAAGTTTGGACTTGGACACATCAAAGAAAAATTGGACTGGTGTATAAGAATGTTTATGAAGTCACTGAGTCTATACCTAGAAAGCATGGATACGAACACGAGTGTTGTATCTAATACGATACGGAAGTTCAAAAATATAGGACACGAGTACGGCAAGGATTCAGTTAAGTAAAATAAAATTATATATTTTTTAAACAAAGCATATTTTATAATAATATTAATAATAAAACCTACCAAATATTAATTATTTTGATAAAATTGAAATAGAACAAAATAAACATCCACAATTTTCTTCAAACGTCATTACATCCATGACAATTCATAGTATATAAGATACATAACAAAAAATATAAATAAAAAAATACACCCTTTTTAATAGTTAAAGCTCATTTTTTAAATAAAAAGATTTTGGTTGTATCCTGGCCAAATCTTAGGTGCGTCATGGCCGTGTTCGACCAAGTTCACTATTCAAGACACTTTTAACTATGTTGGACACGTGTCCGACACTGCCATGACACCCTCCGAGAAGTATCTGTGCGTCCTATGCCTATACATGTCCAACACAAATACAACTCCTTAGAGCATTTCCAATTGTACGTCCTTTGGTAAAACAATATCAAAATTTGGCATGATAAGTTAACCATTGACATACTTAAAATTTCTTCTTTTGCCCTTACTCCTTATAATGCATTTCGCTTTTGTTTTGTTTTAACTTTCAATTAAATTGTAAATTGAAGGTTTTTCAAAACACCAGATATCACCTTAAGAAAATTTAAAGTGCATACAACTATACACATACTCTGTTGACATTGCTCTCTTTGTCATGACCACACATGTAAGATTATTGGCCGGAAAGCAATAGGCTAATTTGATTATCGTATTGTAAAAGAAAAGACTGAATTAAGCAATTCGGACAAATTTCGTATAAGCGGATTTCATATAAGCGAATAAAACATAACATTAAATGGGGGAAAGAATATTACCCATTGGAATCCATCATTTAGTAAGACACTGGACTAGAAATGGAAAAATAACTATCGAATACAAACTTGCATTTGGTTAGTTCACTTATCCCATAGTATTAATTACATATTGACCAAAAAGCCACTAATCTAGTCTAGTCCACCTTATCAGGTCGAAATACAAACTTGCATTTGGTTAGTTCACTTATCTCATAGTATTAATTACATATTGACCAAAAAACTACCAATCTAGTCTAGTCCACCTTATTAAGGCGAAATACACCAAAAAAAGGTTGATGGTCATACCAACATGGATTTAGTTATAACATCCCAAATTTTTATAAAATAAGGATTTGCAGTTAAAATTATAAGATTATGATTAAAATAAATTGTACGATTTAATGCTATTGGTTAGGAAATTTGAAGAATTCAAATCAATAAGTGAAGCACAAAAATGGATTCCTTGTATGAAGACGAGTTCAACGTCTGTAATATTGGACATGTTTTGTATATGAAGAAAATACTATGCTAGACACCCAAAATATACGAGATGTCCATATAGATCTATAAATACACATGTGACAAGTGTTGATAAAGGTATAGCCGTGCATGTGTAACAATATTCCACTTGGACACTGGTTCAAAACAAAATGTGTGTGAATTTAGGGAAATACACGCATCAAGTACGACGAAGCAAAGTGTGTGTGTGTGTGTGTGTGTGTGTGTGATAAGAGTGTCTAGTCGTTGGCAAGTGTCTAGACACTTGTCACATTACATATGCACTAACACGAATAGATGTCAAGTGTCCAATGTTACCTCATACTTGCTTTGCTATAAATAGGGCTCTTTAGCTTATAAATTCAACCCCCATGGTGTAGTAACCATAGCCAAGAAATAAGAAAGGAAGGAGGGAGAAAAAAATAAGGCTTCATCAGACGATGATTTCAAATCATATTGCTACCAAATTTGAGAATATGATTTTTGATCATTTTAAATTCATATCTATTAGAGTCTATTGATGATTTGAGGTATAGGGTAGTATACAATATGATCTATCTTTAATCTCCTTGCAAAGAGTAAATCTTGGATTCTTCCCAATTCGTACTCTCTTTGATTGAGTTGTTATGATTCTTAAATTTCTATTTAATTCTTATTGGTATTGTGAGTACGTTGATTATGTATTGTGTGGATTGGGGACTAGATCATGATAGCCAACAAACCAATGCATCACAAGCATGATTTTGAAAATCGGTCGTTACGATGCGTAACGGCCGTTACGTAATAATAACGAAGGTCACCGATTCTGTTACACCCCGATTTTTTGGTAAGAATGGATTTCACATCTGTAATGGCCGTTACGGCGCTGTAAAGGCCTGTAACAGAGCCATAACGGCCTGTAACAGCCGATAAGGGTCAAATCGGACCAATACGGGTTGTTGCAACCCAAGAAGCCATGTGAATAGCAAAGCACAGATCTGCCGGACTTTTCACCTCTGTTTTAACACAGTAATCAAATTGAGCACCTACAGGAGGAGTCTCACTTCACCAATGACAAAGGCAATGTCCTTCAAGGTTTCGAGATCCATGTTAGCTTCGTCGGAGCTGATAAAGACCATGATTTGCAGGGCACCGGACTGATATTGGGACTTCCACTGTTAATAGAGTTGTCATGGGAGAATGGAATTGCAAGAGTTTTGAGGAGATAGAGGAGAAGAGAAAGAGGTGAAAATTTGAATTGAAGTAAACAGAGAGAAGGAGTGGGGAAGCTTGGGCGCCTGGGCGGAGAAGACAAAGCAACAACTGGGTTCTTTGTTTTTTTTTTTTCTCTATCAGACAATTGAGCTACTACATTTCTATTTTATTCAAGGCCTATCATTAATGGGCTAGTTGTCTTTTGAGTAAATGGGCTAACAATATTCTTACTTTCTTAAATTTTTTATTTTACACAGCCCACAGTATAAATTTTACCAACTTTGATCATTTTTGAAAGATTATATAATGATACCATCAATACAAACATGTCTATATGATTTTAGTGATCATTAAATATTCATATTGACTTGATTTTAGAGTAGAAACATGCAAAAATGTATTTTTAGGTGAGGTGTGAGTTGAAAAAAAAAATTTAAATATTCGGTTTCCGTTACTATTACGTAACGCCCGATATAACCCACGTCCGTTACGACGTTATTGTTATCGTTACAACGACCGTTACCGTTATTCAGAACCATGATCACAAGCTCCAAGAGATATTTTCTGAAATTTTGCCAATTGATATATCAGATAATGTATCCGAAAAATCAGGGCGTAAAATTAGAACTATAGCGGGGTGCGACGTGGTAGGTCATTACGATCCGTGGATAGATATGTCGGATAACTTTGGGCCAACTCATGGGTCATGAGTGTTTTCCAAGGCTTATATTTATTTATTTTGAATTTAAATCAACGTGTTTCTATTTATTGGTGGACAAATATTAAATCTATAACATAATACGTTTGAAATGGACAATAATAGCACTTCTCCATGTGGTATTTAAATTGGCTCAATATTCATATTTCATTCGTATATGAAATAAGCATATACATAATACAAAGTGTTTTTGTCAACCAAATATAGTATAAAGTTGGATTAGAGAGTTTTAATTCATTATGACTCTTAATACAGCAACCAAAAGACCCAAAGCCTATCAGTGGCCATTGATTGTATAATTGACAGGAGGGGCAAAATGGTAGTTGATGGAAATGGTTGTTATGCCCAAAAAAAAACACTTTTTCTGGCTAAAATCATTGGAATGGATATGCCAAATAATAGCATTTTGGCACAGCAGCAGGTCAAAATATAGCACTGGCACAATCAATATGGCATAAACTATTGGAGATGCTCTTATAAATATTCAAGTTCCGTATATAATAAAATTTATAAAGGTAAATAAAACACTTAAATATCCTTATTCCTACAGTTTCATTGACTATGTAACACGCATCAATGCCATTACTACCACTTTTTCAGCATTCTATTCTATTCGCACATTATACAACCATGCAGAAGTCCAGGTCCTCAAGTACATTCAGATTGTGTTATAACTTTGCATTAGTTCTTTCATTAAGCATATGGATAGTACAATAAAATTGCAACCTACCAGCAATCTTATACTAAGGGCCCGTTTGGTAACATTTTTGTTTTTGTGTTTTCAAAAGACAAGAAAACAGAGACAATTTTTGTCTTTTTTTGTGGTAAACACTGAAAACAAAAAATATGTTTGGGAGTCTTTAGGTGCCAAGATAACCCACTCACTCTCACACACATACACACGCACACAGAAATCACATATACACACACACACTGAAATCAGGCATACACACACACACAGACAAATCGCACACACACACATACAGAGAAATCACACGCACACACAGAAATCAGGCGCACGCACACACAGAAATCAGGCGCACACACACACAGAAATCACGCAAACACACACACTGAAATCATGAAGAAAGAGGCTTTCAAAGTGACAAAAAAAAGTGGGATCGATCTTCTTCGGAGTTCTTCGTCTTCATGGATTCATTCTTCGTGAGATCAACCTGCGTCGTCTAAGAGAGAGAGACGAGATGAGAGAGTGACAAAAAAAGAAAGAGGCAAAGAGTTTTTATAGTAAGCACAAAAAAAAACCTTCTTTTTGTTGTTAATGGGATTCGAATGGAGGATCTCATTAACTATGCCTGTGGAGCGTGCGTGTTTCCTGTTTCCTTGTTTCCTAGAACATCTTTTTTTTGTTCCTTGTTTCTGAAACAATTTTTTTTTATATAAAATAGAAACACAAATCGAAACATGATTTTGTTTTTGTTTTGCCCAAAAAACAAAAACAAAAACGCCAACCGAACAACCCTTTTAAGTATTCACATTTTTAAGAAACAAAAATCTAGCAGTGACTATATATTGTCTTCATCAAAATGCTATACTGCTATCCTAAGCAAAAAAGTTGATCAATCCTTTTTCAAAAACATTCTCTAAGTTGTCTGAGTAAGTCCCCAGATTTGCTTCATGTAATAAAGCAGGCCTCTTCAATATGCCCTCAGGATTCAATTGCAGATTTTAAGTCACCTTATTCAACATAAAACTAGAAGCCCGGCCGCTTATTGAAAACAAGCCCAGAATATATCCTTTGTTCCCTCATCTTGTCCTTGTTAATTTCCACTTGGCCAAATTTCTAACACTCACCAACGCAACGGATAATTTGCTGACACTAAAAAATAAATTGATTGTAGTACACAAATAAAGAAAGAATTCCTAAACTAGAAAAGAATACACATGAATAAACATGATTTAATTATCTGACTTTAATCATGCCATGAAACAATTCAAGGTGAAAGTTCTAGGGTAACATACAACTCGTAGAACGGGGTACTTACTGGATTGGATTTTTCAATCTCTGCAATAAGAGCAGTCCAACTATCGAAATCTAATGAGCCTTTAGCAATCATTTCACGAAGTTGTTCACTGGAACCAACCACTGGAAAAGAGCAAACGAATTATATGCCAGTTAAGTCAAGCACCAAGTTGCTAAATTCATGTCATGAAGAAATAATTTGAACAAAAAAATTAACTACGATAACAAGATGATGTTGCAAACATGGAAAAATAAATGGCAGAAAATAAATTTCTACAACTTGCTTAAGAAAAGAAGTAACACATAGTTTCACAAAACCAGAGCACAACATGCTATGTGCAAAGAAACTGATGCTGAACGCTTTTTTCAATACAGAAGAATTACAGATTAGTTGCACCTTGCAATAGTAAAGATAACTAAGTCAAATAACTACACAGCTGGATCAAAAATAAGAAAAGAAAATAAATTGAAGCTATAAATTGAAAAGGTGGACTACAGAGGTGCTCCAAAAAAACCCTCAGAAGCTCCAGTTGTCTAGAGCTAACTGTGGTTCCAAAAGTGGTCATTAAAAAGAATAAACAAAGCATATGCAACAAATCCTAGTTTGATAGCAGAAGACATATCAGGAATGAAAAATGCAGAGCATTACACAACTCCCTAATCTCCAAGATCCAAAAAGGAGATCAACCAAAAATCCATGAGGGGAATAAATTTGTATTGTATCAACACTTATTTCATCTCTCATAGATTCAGTGAATAAGCATTTTCAATATTTTAATGAATCTTCAAGTGTCAAATATATTTACCTGCAAATAAGCATATACAAGTTTGAAGTCAATCTCTCATTAGTAGCTTGCTCGCTTACTGTCTTGCAATTAATCAGAAGTAGTCAAAACAAAATATGCAAAAGCTACACCATTGGAAATCATCAGAAAATAAAAGCAACAACTTCAAGTTAAAAAGGTACAAAAATCCCACATTAATTTGTTACTCCATATTTATTCTATATCCTGCCAGGAAATTAAGAACTTAAATTCAGCAGCCCAAATAAGATGGCAAAATAAGAAGCCTTCCCCAGTGGACCGAGAGGTCCAAGACTATGCAATGGTAGAACACCTTACAACCTTCGTTGACTTTATCATAAACCTTAATTTCACTACGTTCAATAAGAGCCTATTGATGTCAATCATGTATTTATTGGGTTTGTCAAACCCATACTTTATGTACAACATCGTTTAGCCAACAAAAACCTAATCTATGCCAATACTACCTGAAAAATCTTTGACAAGAAGAAACTCAACCAAGCATAACATTTAGCAAACTCCTTAAGGGTACAAAGATCATTTTCCTCGTGCTTCTACCCTATTGATCTACCCAACCCAAGGTAAGTGTCCACTGCCTCATGGGAGGGAACACCTTTTTTATTTCCTTTTTCATTTTTCTTCATATGTATACAACTCACAGACTTGAATACCAGAAGATGCTTCAATAATTTGGATTAGTCCTACTGGACACCCGACACCTGTCACTGAAGTTAAATTTTTCTAGGCCAGTTTAATCTTTGAAATAGGTCATAAAGTCATGCCACACCTTGACAGCGACTATAGACATTAACAAAAGGTGTTGCGGATTATTAACTCAAGCCTCGGGTGACAAGAACCTCATCAGGCAGATCAAAAAAGTGGATAGTCGAATGCTCATCTATTCATTTTGTGTGCATTTGAATGGGGTTTGGGGAATATTTTATTACAAGTGATTGGGTAGGCTTGGGTTTGTCCTTCTACAATAGAAACTATGCTATAAATTAAGTTTTAGGGTTTTATAAATAAAAAGGAAGTAAAGATACTAGGGAATTGCTCATTCATGGAAATTCTTTGGTGTATTTGGATAAAAAGAAATACAAGAATATTCAATAATTGCTATCTTTCCTCCGAATTAGCATGGAAAAGAATTTTTTTCATGGCTACATTTTAGCCCAAAGTCACATGAAGCTTTGGAGGTTTGCCTTAGTTGAATCTCCAATGGAATTAGGAGGTGGCTCGATTTTAGTTTTTTTCCTTACAACTTTTCTTTGATCTGTATTTTTCCATTATTCTTTTTTGAGGATATCTTGTCCTCAACATTATATTTTGCTTTCCTAATTCCACTCCATATAAGAATCATCCTTTATCTAAAAATTATAAAAGCCAAACTTTGTTTCCACATCAAAAAAGTTTGAGCAAGAACATGATTAGCTATATAAATTTTGCAAAATAATTTTAATTGGGACTTTGAAATTTTATCAAATGACCCCAAAAATAACTTTTCAGAATTTTCATTGCTTAACAAAAAAGTTGACAAGTATAATAAGCAATTGGGAAACACTTATGCACAAAATTCGACACTATATTGCAAATTTATCAATTGAAAGAAAAAAATAAATTTTGCATTCCAAGGCAAAGATAATGTCACATTGACCAATTTACAATCTTAAGCTCATTTATAGTTTGGAAATCTTAGCCAAGTGTTTGAAATGGTTGTCCCCAGATGAACTCCTATTAATTACATTCCATCGTCGTCTCAAGAAACATTTGAGGTGAAAATTCTACATTTTCAATTAATGGCAAGCTTCACTTGCATTTGCCTGTAAGTTGGTCATCAATAAAAAAAAAAGATGGCGAGCATCATTGATCAATGGACCAATCCCCGATCCTCTTAAACCTCTCCAACAAAGTTTGTCAATTTCATATGTTCTTTTTGGTATTTCCAACCTCTTTCTCCTTTCCAACTTGACAGTCTTTATGCATTTAAGGGCCCATTTGGAATGATCACTACATGCCTTCTAGCTCACTATTCTCATCATCTTCAACTTCATCAAGATGCAATTACGATTTATTCCTTCTTGTCAAGGAAGCAGGATCACTTGCTTCGGATTTTATGTTTGTCATGGATATTCGTCATGAGGGCAATGGATCCCCATCACCTTGGACAAGATTTTAGTTGTATCACTTTTCCTCTCTATGTTTATCTTTCTTTCCCTTAGTCCTTGTATGTATACATAGACACGGTTAAGTGTGTGTTTGTGTGCCTATATGGTGGAAATCATGTGTTTCCGTTACTTGAACAGTCTAAATGTTTAAATGAAGAAGCATCATTCCATATCCAAACAATCACCAACCATAAACATGGCTATTTGAGCTAAGGTAAAGTTCAAAGCTCGCCTCAAGTCTACCAAGTCAAAATTGCGAAGGCAGTAGTCACTTTCCTCACTTCATCTACAACCATTAAAGGAATAATTTATAGAAAGACTGAAAAAGTAAAAGCATTAACTCTTATTCCTCATGTCGCTGTTATTTATGATTATCATATTAACTTTCCCAAATCATGTCCTCAATTTCAAAACCCAAGCAAAATGCATCATATATACTTTTCTCTTGGATCTTTCAGTCACTCCTAGTTTTGCTTCATGATCATTACAGTAGTTGCATAATAAACCCCATATTTTTCAGCACCTCTACTTGGATTTTTTTTTGTTTTTGAACTTCTCTAATTTGATTTTCATACCTACAATCTTCAAAATCACTGATGAACAAAGTAAATATAACTTACTTCCTTTTTTTGGTCAGAATATAAACTTCATTAAAGAAAAACAGGGAAAACCTGTCCTTTTTACAAGTAAATATAACTTCAAATGCCATCTTTAGGGGTAACAAAATTTCTTCATACCGATACCCATAGTTTTATTTTATAATTCATAACAATCCAATGGTAAAAACCAATTCGTTTAGCATCCTCAATTTGAATTCCATATGATCAGTTTCAACTATATTCTACTTTTCTCAGATAAATTTGGATTCCCCTGGTTTTATTTTATGACCATAATAATATTAACAGAGTACAACCCAATCCCCAACGGGAGAAAAAAATTAAAACCCAATTGTTGCACAGGGGAAATAAATGTTAAAATCCAATTGTTGTTGTGTCTCCAACTTAAACTTCATACAGTCAGTGTCAAGTAGCAATGCCAAAAAAAAACTAGACATAAAAAAGAGCTACAATTTCCTGGGAACAGCGGTTGGAAACAGAGTGTCAGAAATTGGAAAAAATAATTTTATGATTAGTAAAATTATTAGGAGTATAACCCAACTCTCTCTGTCTCTGATTAGAACTAAATTACATTCATTTATACAAATTATTTACAAAAAAATTATTATGGAGTATAACCCAACTCTCTCTGTCTCTGATTGGAACTAAATTACATTCATTTGTACAAATTATCTACAAAACAAAATGTGTCATGCTGATTTACACTTATTCATGATACATAGAGTTCTAGACATTGAAAATTCAAGTTACCTTGAAACTGCCCTTCCTTGGCTGGAGGGTCTTTTGCAGCATTGGAATTCAGCGCCATAACCCACCTAGGGCATCACATGCCAAAAATATATAGATATACACATACATACAGACAGAGAGAGAGTCTGTAGGTGCGAGCATGCGTGGGTGCAATAGCTGGTGAACGGCTGTTGAGAAACCAGTTGCCGGGGAGGGAGAGAGAGAGAGTCCAGCCCATTCGGGAAATAGTTTGACCCATCCTTATTTAATCATTCTTTGTTGGAAAATGCTATTTAGATTTAAAAATCTAACATAATTTATTGATCTAAACTTTATTAGAACCATTAAATTAACAACAAATTCTAATATTTGATAGAGCCCATAATCAATCCAAAAGTTACAATAAATTAGATCAGTAAATTAGGTCCCAATAACATTATTCTTATTTGTGTATGACCCATTACACGTATGGATTGCGCTGGAACATCAACGTGTTAAAAAACCTTATAAGTTTTTGGGTTTTTTTGGCTGCAGGTACAACTTTTTTAGACTTATTTAAGAAAAAATATATGGATAAATTATTTTCTCTATTAAGTTCAGTTTAAATAAAATATATTGTGTTTAGATACAAAATTCAAATGAAATCAAAACTATTTTACCTAAATACCATCTCTTAAATTATACATTCNTTATCATTATAGTGCGGGTTGAAAACTGGTTTTTTTCTAAACCTCAGATGATGAAACAGACCTCACTGTTGGATTCATCGCGCGAAATCTAGTTACCTAGACAAATTTTGCCAACTTCTGAGATAGTCGAGTTTTTCACATTTTTCGAGGTGAAGGGTGTGCAGTGACCCTNCTAGTTACCTAGACAAATTTTGCCAAATTCTGAGATAGTCGAGTTTTTCACATTTTTCGAGGTGAAGGGTGTGACCTCCAAAAATGAAATTTTTATAAAAAATTTAAAATTTAGAAAATATTTAAAATAAAATTCATATAAAATATTTTGAACTTAAATCGATACGAAATTTAATCGTTTCGGAGCGAAAAACGAACCGGAACAAAGGAGGACACTTGGCGCGACGAGGGCCAAGTCTTTAAAAGTATAAAAGGGGCATAATATCTGAAAAAATCAGATTTTCTTCCCCAAGAGGCTGGCTAGTTTAGGCTTGAGAAGAGAGAAAATATGTTTTTCAAATTTTCTTCCGACAATTTCTCAAGATTCGTTGGTCGGAATCCATCAAACCAAGAACTAAAGTCGATCTACGCGACAAGGGCTACGCATGGGTACCAAAAAACGAAGACTTTCACCAAAGATTCAAATNTGACAATTATATATCTAATCAAATATGTAAAGATTTCATTAGACTCTCTCACTATCTATCTATCTCTCTTATTTTCTCTTCATCTCTCTATTTCCCCATTACTTTCTCAATCTCTCTCCTATTTTTTCTCTATATTTGTAAACTCTCACATTCTATTCTTTATATGACAACGTAATTATGTAGATTGTAAGAGTAGAGATAAAAATGTTAGTTGAGGTAATAGAATATGTTGTAAAAGTTTAGAAGTATTCTGGAGTGAAAACACATTTTTAGACAAAATTTGGGTAGAAAGAATTTTGGACACTGTCTAGTATTTGGATCATAACTTTTTATTATGATGTCCATTTGATTTGAAATGTTGACAATAGATACTAGACTTCTAGGGCTACAAAAGAGTATTTTACAAAAAAATTTCAAATTGACCTCTAAATGGGTCAAAACTTCATTGGAAGTTTCACTAGAAACTGGGATGACGTTCAAACACCAAAGTGACATTCGAACGTGATTTACGAAATTTGACTTTCAGAATCGTGCATAGGAGGCCACTTCTCATCCTATAAATACATAAGGACATCCCCATTAGCCTCATTTCAACATTTCTAACCCTAGGGAGGCTTAGAGAGGAGAAAAGAAGGGAAAAAACAAAAGATTCAAGGGTTGATTCAAGTTGGGAAAGATCAAATTTTTATCTTCTTCACTCAAAAATTAAGGAAGCAAGGTAGGAGTTTCTTCTCACTCTTGTCCATTGAGGTTAGAGTTTATATCTATGTATGTTTTGCTTAAAAAACTTAGATATATGCTATGATATACTTGATTCTTGATATTCTTGAACAAATTACCATGATTAAAACAAAGATATGATTAGATGGCCATGAAATCTCTTTTTCTTTTCTTGAAAACCTTAGTTTTCAAAAGAGATGGGTTTTTCTCTCAATATTCCTTTGTTATTGATTTCAAAACTCTAGTGCTTGGTATTGAACACAAAAATGGTGTTGTTGATGATCTCTTGCTTATTTTCTTAAATTGTTCTATTGAAATCATATGTGTGAAATTTGAGGATTTTTTAATTTGCTTTGTGATTTAAGGAATTAGGTTGTATTGTATCTCTTGTGGATGTTTGGATGACCATAGGTGGCCGTTGACCGGGTATCATAGAGTGGTGTAGATACGTTTCTTATTCCGTGTGGGTTTGAAGGTTCGCTACCACTCGTAGTGGAGTGGGTGCCTTACAAGGACCAAACCACTATTTGTTCTCGTGTTATCGAGACTAAGGGTTAGTATACTATTCCTGGGTTGAATTCGTCACTGTCAATCCGTTGGTATACGCCCCTTCCTAAAAATTGAGAATCCTTGCGAGGACTGGGTGAGTGTGTGTGGGCTAAGATATTCTCGATATGTTTATTCATGTGATGTCATACATCATACCTGAGATACATATACATAATGTTGTGAAAGATACAAGTTGTGGTTTGATATAAATTATGGGTAATAGTACCAGTTGTGGGTTATTAGTTATTGTTGTGGAAATGACTTATTGTTGGAATTGGTTTTACTTCTTCATTTTTATATATCGAGATTGCATAAATTTGAGATCGGATGTCACTGTTTTGTTTTAAAAGTTATATATGATATTTGTAAAATGAAACCGACTTGTTTTATATGTTTTAAAAACCTTGTCCAAGTTTGAAAGAATTTTCTTACAGAGCTTAGTGCTCACCCCCTACAAACAATATTATTTTTAGATTTTGCTTTAGAGGAAAAGTTTAGAGTTGACGAGAAAGTACCTTAGGAGACTCAAGTGGATGGGCATGTGGATCCAAATGGGGATGTTTAGAATTGTTCTTTTTAGTTTCTAGACTAAGAGGTTCATTTTGAGACAATGTGAAGTCTAATATTTTTGTTATTCTGCTACAAGATAATATTTAATTTTTTTTTTTGGGATGTAATTGTCATACTTAGACATATTCCTTTGGATTCAATGACCATGGTTTGGTCTATTCTTTGGATGAAGTTGTAAATATTATGAATGATAAATGAAATTTATCTTATTTATGGATCATATTAGTTACTCTCATGATGTGAATAGTTTTAGATAATAATGTCGTCCAAGGTGGATTTGGAGTGTTACAATATTTATCATTGATAATTTTTTTTTTTCAAATATATAAAAATTTGATTTATTTTTTCATCGCTCTCCCCCTATTTTTTCTAACTATTTCTCCCTCTCTCCCTATTTTCTTTCTATCTCTCTCTATTTATATCAACATTACAACAACACAATTACGCTAATCAATTACAATTGTCTTATCATACACCAAACAGTTACTCAAGCGTTCTAATAAACCAAACAGTTACACAAATTTATAACATCAACTCAATTTATCAATCAGTTGTTTACATAAACTAAATAATTGCACTATTTAGTATTGCAAACATCGTTAAACCAATCATATATATCAAATTTAGTATAATGGTAAAGTCTTTTGTACAATGATAAATCCAATTTGGTGTATATAATTATTATAACCATATCATGATACTAAATTATGTAACTATTTGATTTATGTAAATAACTAAATGACAAATTGAGTTGGTGTTATAATTTCGTATAACTGTTTAGTTTATTAAAATACATGGGTAACTGTTTGGTGTATTATAGGGTAATTATAACTAATTAGTGTAACTGATTAATGTAATTGTGTTTTTATAACATTGATATAAGGAGAGGAGAGAGAACAAGGAAGTATAAAACCAACAAGTAGTATCAGAGTTAGATTGATGATCTTGATACAATAATCAAAGCAAGTTATTAGAATTCAATGATGAAGTTGGCGCTCATGCTAAAGAAGGCTCCGTTGCCATGTGTGTACAACGCGATGTAAAAATTGATTTCTTCCTGCGTACATTAAGGGCGTAATCTTAAAAAATTAGTTGATACATATTTTTATTTGGATTTACAAGGAAAAAATTAATTTTTATATAAAACCAAACAGGAGACTAAGTTGCTTTCAAATTGTTTGGACTTCAAGAATTACCATACGTATTGTGTTGAATATAGTTTTTTAGGTTTTTGGGCTCTTGGAATTGAAGTCACGGTATTCCAATGATTTAAGAGTTACTAAGCTGACATAAACCTAGTAATGATGATGTGGTGTCTCATGGTTTACGAGTCACTAAATTTTACCTTTGAATGGTCTAATATTAACCATTGAGACCTCTCAAGAGCAGGTAAAACGCAGGCAGATATGCATAGATGATGCGGCCAAGGCACAGGTTCTTGAAAGACAGAGAGGATTATGATGACTTAGAAGCATAGGTTTACATGTGATGCTTGAAAAATTGATCGATTATAATCACAGGTGTTAAGTCCAATATTAGGTATGATCAAATTTGATTTGAAAAGTTTAGTTTAAGGGAGATTGTTGGAATTTAACCAAAACTCTCTAATTGTCATGAAAGAGTTTTATTGGGTAATCAATATGAGAATCTTGAATGAAATAGAAAACTTATCGGAAGAGTTTTAATAAACCATGAATAGGTTTATTAGTGATTTGATAGGAAAAATATAGATTTAGCAGTATCAAAATTGTATTCGGTTATAGTATTTTATCGCAATAAATAGGGTTGAATATTATGTAATTAGTTATCAGATGACCAGATTTCAATGAATAATACATCGGTGTAAGTTTTTGGTCAATGAATGTAAGTACAGTGTATTGGGAGAGTATGTTGTATTGAAGCACGTTATATCTTTATGTCATGTTTTTATTGTTTTTTCCATCTTAAAATTCCTATCTTCCAATAAATATTATTTTTGTCAATTATCCACGATGCAAAACCAACAAATTTGATGACATTTTATTAATTTTGAAGAATTTAAAACTTGTGTTTTGCTCTCGATAAAATATCTCACATTTGTTATTTTAATTTTTAAAAATAGTAGTAATGTGCCCCAATTACTAAATGAAGTTAGATTTTCAAAATTATCATAATTATATTTTACCCCATAGAATTATCTACTACTTGCATTTTACCTCAATAAAAAATAATCACTTCACCACATGTTTGTGGTAGATTAAATGAAAAATGTGGTGCCCTCTAATTCAAACTATATTTATATTAGGACAAATTATATTTATATTAGGACAAATTATATTTTGAATTTTTTAATTATAGACTTGATTTTTCTTTACCCCTAGAACTATTAAATTAATTGAGTTATTTCACATTGTCCTAAATGCAAACATTAGTCATCTTTTTTTATGAAAATTATCTACATGTTAGAAAAAATTGAAAAAATCACATAATTCAGAGGCAAAATAAAATAATTTCTTTTGGTGTAATTTGTAAAGGTAGTCAATAATTAGGTCGATGTGAAATCAATCACATAATTGAGATTGAAATATAAATGAGATTAAAATATAAAAAATATGATCGTCTTCATTATAATCTTCGATGACGATAACCCAAATCTCATCATGTGTCGCCACCATCAAATTTGTAGAAAATTTAATTTCAATTTTTTAATTCATTTGGATTTAGGAGCTTGAAATATTAGATTTGTATGGACTTTATTGTCTTTTTTCATTTTTGTAATACTAGTTGGTGCACATGTGCGTTGTACATGGACCATTTCAAGATTCCTCTATAGCCACCCATTGTCAAACCTATATCATTATATTGAGAATAACTAAGAATCCTATCACATTTTCCATATGTGTTGTTAAGTAGATAATAGTTGACAGTTAAGTAGATGATAGAGAGGGATGAAAGAGTGCATTTCCAGTAATAAAAAATAGAAAGAGAAGATGAAGGGGTGCATTTTTAGTAGTATCATCTATCGAGGTTTAGTTATCTATAGTGAATTTTGTTCAATGCTAAATAAAATTAGATGTTTTATCCAAACAAAATTCAATGTAATGCACCACCGAATATGGTAATCGTATGAAAAGGAAAATAATATAAAAAGAAATTTTGTTAACTCTACAACAAAAAAAAAAAGGGAAAGGGGGAGGGGGGGAATAACTTAACCTTGGATTCATTATGGCAATGCCTGCATGTGAATATCTTATCACAATAAGGTGCTCTGATCTTGCGTCTCATTCTGTAATATGGGCACCTAAAAATTCATAATATACCAAATTAAAAGAAACCCAATTCTAAGAAACTTGAATTCGAAAGTTAAAACACGCAGGAATAAGAAAAAAAATGGTTCATAATCAAACTACATAGTTACGATGAGATAGATACCCGAAATAACCAGATCCTCTCTCCATCAGAGATTCCTCCATAGCTGAATCTAAGACCATCTGGTTCTCGAAGTCGCTTTCCATTCTCTTTGAATAAAACTTCAATGAATAAACCAATTGTTCTTTATTTGAAAAATCAACTGAAATTAATTCACAACACATAATTAAAAAATAAATCGACCATATACTCTAAATAGATATACCAGAAACAAAGTGGGATTTATAATATAAGGATACAAAAAAGAGAAAATTTGAAAAAGTAATAAAGAATTAAACCCCATTAAATGTAAATTGAGAGAAATGAAGGGATTCTGCATAATTATTGTGGAGGAATTAAAATGACCTAATCATATTATTGGTAATTAAGTAGGGTAATTAATCTAGCAATTGAGGTATTTATTATTATTCAATCCTTTGAATACTTTTTGCAGAATTTGTGGAGTTTAACAATTTGAATGGTTAAACTTGATTTTAGATTATCATTGAAAAAAGATTAAACATCAATAAAAAGATAAGAATATAATACTTTCATTATTGGAGGATACAATTGAAAAAAAATATGTTTTTCAAGTAGTGACACTTTAAAGTAGTATATATTGATAGATAGATATAAATATAGATATAGACATAGATAGAAATATGAGCATTAGAGTCAATCAGCAAGACTATCTATTGATATAGGAGTCCAAAAGTTCTCTTCACCATTGTGATTGATTGGAGAATATGAAAAGTTTAATTTAATGTTGTCATTATGTATTTTTAAAGGTTATTATTGAAGATCACATGTTCTTATCACCTTTTAATATATCTATACTACTTATAAATGTCAGCATTTATGAAAATTTTTTGATTTTCTATGTCACCCCTAATTATTACACTAAAGACAATTATGCCCACAAAATATTTGCTAGATACACTTTATCTCTATGACTTTCAAATTTTTTGTTGGATAAACTTTATCACTAATATTCAAAATTTTTGCAAGATATTCCAAATTTTTTTCAAGATAAATTTTATCACTATATATTATCTATATCTATACTACTTATAAATGTTAGCATCTGCGAAAAAATTTTGATTTCTTATTTCACCCCTAATTATTACACTAAATACAATTCTGCCTACAAAATATTAGCTAGATAAACTTTATCTCTATAACTTTCAAATTTTTTGTTGAATAAACTTTATCACTAATATTCAAAATTTTTGCAAGATAAATTTATTCACTATATATTAGTTAGATAAAATTAGCTAGATAAACTTTATTTCTATAACTTCCAAAATTTTTGTTGGATAAACTTTATCATTAATATTCCAAAATATTTGGAAGATAAATTTTATCACTATATATTAGTTAGATAAAATTTAGCTCCACTATGACTTGCCAATACATTTTTTTTTCATTCAATTCAGTAAATTCAATTATAATTCTAATATGATGTGGAAAAAAATTGCTATTTTTAAAAAAAAATTTGATTTCCTATTTCACCCCTATTATTACACTAAAGACAATTATGCCCACAAAATATTTGCGAGATAAACTTTAGCTAGATAAAGTTTATCTCTATGACTTCTAAATTTTTTACTGGATAAACTTTATGTCTAATATTCCAAATTTTTTGCAAGATAATTTTTATCACTATATATGAGTTAGATAAACTTTATCTCTATGACTTCTAAACTTTTTGTTGGATAAACTTTATCTCTAATATTCCAAAATTTTTGCAAGATAAATTTTATCACTATATATTAGTTAGATAAAATTTATCTCCATTATGACTTGCCAATACAATTTTTTTTCCATTCAATTCGATAAATTCAATTATAATTCTAATATGATGTAGAAAATAAATTGCTATTTTTTAAGATATAAACACAACCATTGAAAATTCATTATTCATTATTCATTATTATATAATAAAACATTAGAAGAGTAAAGAATTAAACCCATGTATTTTTCTTTCTTTCATACCTATTCGAATTTTCAAATATTTTGAACAACTTTATTTTCCTATTTCACCCCTAATTATTACACTAAAAACAATTATGCTTACAAAATATTAGCCGGATAAATTTTATCTCTATGATTTCCAAATTTTTTGCTGAATAAAATTTATTACTAATATTCCAAAATTTTTGCTAGATAAATTTTATCACTGTATATTAGTTAAATAAAATTTATCTGTATGACTTTCAAAATTTTTGCTAAATAAATTTTATCACTATAACTTGCCAGTCCATTATTCTTTTCCATTCAATTCGATAAATTCAACTAGAATTCTAATATGATGTGAAAAAAAATTGCTATTTTATAGGTGATAAATATAACCATCGAAAATTCAATAGAAGAGTAAAGAGCTAAATCCATATTTTTTTCTTTCTTTCATACCTATTAGACTTCCAAAATATTTTGAACAACTTTATTAGAAATATATATAGGAAGATAGACTTATATTTCTCTAGTAACTTCATTAACATTTTTCCTATTGTTGGTATGGTATTTTCTTTATTTTGTTTTCCATCTATTTGGGTATGACTATTGCATAAATGCTCTATTTACCTTGCAACAATTTTTGTAATTGGAACTAAAATTAATTTGTGTTCAATTGAATTGGTGTTCCCATCAAAGTGATACTTTTCATGGAATGAAGAGCTTAATCTATTAAACTAATCTCCTAATATTTAATTATTTATTATTAGTAGGCTTGTAGTGTTTTAAGAGTTATTATATTATTTGTAGAATTAGTTTTGTTACTAGACTTCTTGAATTCGTGTGGTGGTGGAATAATTTTGATTAATAAATTATATTTAAGAGTTTTTTTAGTTTTATATTGTAATGCCATAAATTCTTATTGGATTCAAGAAATCATTGAATGCATATATCAGCAATCTTTTACTTCGTCAACTTCATATATTTCGTATTTCTAAAAAAATATAATCAAAATTTTATGATCTAAAATTTTCACATGTCCATTACTTAGTATGATAAAAATGTCCTAATATTATTGTTTGGGGGTAAAAAAAGAAATTAAATATTTTTCAAGTATGTAGATATTTTTAAGTTGGATAGATTTTTTAGATGTCGGCAACAGGTGAAGATTGAAATGGCTGGATTGGGGAAGAGTGAATGTGATTGTGACATAGGAGAATAGGTGGCTAGGTGTTTTTAGTGAATGAGCTGCTTAGATATTTAGAAAAACAAAACCATATTATAGTATGATCATGCTTCATAAAGGAAGTTTGAATAAGAACAAAGGGTATTTTAGATTTTTTATATGAATCATTATCTTTGTATGATTTACACTTTCTTTTTTAGCACGATCGGACTAATGGGACCGGGATTGTGTACGAAGTGCTCAACTCTCTCTCTCTCTCCCTGCTTTGGCCGGTGAAAAAGCAGAGACGTCAAAGAAGAAGGCGAAATGTTGTCTGCTTCACTCTCCTCCTCTGGACAGCCTCTTTTCCTCTGCAACAAACAAATCCTCTCCTTGAAAACTCCGCCTTGTCAAAGTAGGCTTCTCAATTCTGGCTGCTTTACCGTTTGCTTTAGCCCTCTGAGTCTGAGGTGAGTTCAGCAAGTTCAGTGACGTTCACAGCTGAAATCAACAAAATTTCCAAGCTTTTTATCAAAAATTTCTGGATATTTGCAGAGTTTCAACTGATCGTAAAGAAATGTTAAAGAAAAATCGAGGGGGATTTGGTGCTGTTTGTTATTCTCCGCTTCTCACTCCTAGAAACTTTCAATGGATCTCTACTGTTTCTTCCGCGTAATCATCTCTATTTTTCTCTATAATTCCCTCTCTCTCTCTCTCTCTCTCTTGGTGGTAATCTGTGAATCAGTGTGATTTTGTCATTTACCGTATGATGTGGCGTTAGAGTTCGTAAGGAAGGCAAAATACTAATCTGACAACTGGGTTCTTGTTCTTACGATTGCTAGTATAGAATTTGTCCTAATAATGGTAATTTTTCTTTGCTCTAGGATCTTAATGCTTGCTAGGGGTACTGCAATTCAGAAATCATTTCTTGTTCCTTTTTTTGCTTTACAAGCACCTGCAAGCATTGTCTCATGGATCAAGTGAGTCTTTAAGTTTTATTCACATTTTTGCTAGTATTTTGTTCCCTTTTGCCTATGTACTCTGAATGTTGTTCTCAATAGCATGTTTACGACGGACTTCCAGCATTAGTGAACTTATTGGGATCTGATTGCAGGGGAGAGTATGGTATATGGATCGCATTCTTGACACTTCTGGTTCGTCTCTTCTTCTTTATTCCGGGTATGTTGTGTATTTTGCCATGTAGTTTGAATATACAATTTGGCCGTAATTACTTTGAATGAGCTGTTGATCTCATTTATCATGTCTTTTATGTTGTTGATGAGGTTCAAAGGTAAATGCTTTGTTGAGTTGAGGTATCAGTGATACTAAGGTAGATCCTTGAGGAAATTAGTTTTGGTTTGTCAATCTCATTGGTCAGTGAAGGTCAGTGTCTTTTTAGAAACTATTTATGGGTTTTCACCATATTCCCCATAGTAAATCTTTAACTCATCATGAGATGCACAAGAGGTAAATGAAAGCAAAATATCAAGCAGAATCAAATGGTTTATTTTGATGTGGCATTTGGCAGTATTTGGGACCCTGGAATTGCAATTGACCAAAAAATTAGTTGAAACTTTGGAGTGGTATTAAGTTCCAATTTAAGAGCCCGGACTTGTGTGCTGTCCCATCCAGTATGTTTTTTGTCCATGCAACTTTGTCACGTCTCCTACTTTAAACGGAGTGGATATATCTTTTTAGACCTTATCTTGCCTCTTGTTTCTACCTAGGTGAATTGGAGTTGCCGTTTATAGCATTTCTACTTGTAATTGTGGCACCATATCAAGTTATGAACATAAGGTGAGTAGATGCACAGTATGAGTGATAGTCCTTTTTTTTTTTTTTTCTGAGTCTTAAATCAATGCAATGTTTCTTTTCATTATTCATGGCAGGGGAAGACAGGAAGGTGTTGTTCTTTCCTTGGCGATTGCAGCTTATCTGGCTTTCCAGCATTTCTCAAGAGCTGGCAGTTTGCGGAAAGCATTTGACCAAGGTTCCATCATAGCCACCTTAGCTATCATTTGTATTGTTGGTGTGACATGTTTGCTTTTGATCTGATCATAAACTTGTAAAGAGTGATCCTCTCGATGGCTTGTAAATCTTTGAACTCATATGAAGATAGACAAGGCAGAAGCATAGCTATGATATCTGATCCTCTCTCTTGTAGGCAAGACTTGAGATGAATGTATGATTACTTTACTGGACAGTATGAAACTTTAATAATGTTTGCACATAGTTGAATACGAAGCTTTCTAATTGAATAGCTTGTGGTCGCCTCTCAATCTTGTTTCAAAATCTCCTCTTTTCCACTGTACAGCTAATTTAATTTTTCTAACTTGATGTTCCCTTCCTTATAGATTCGGTTTCTGTTTAGTTCCCTTGGCAATCACAACCTTCTTTTCTTTTCAGCTGCCTACTCTTTAGAGAGATAGCAAGAATATACTCCTTATAGAGAGCACAATTTTTTATTTCTCTTCTAAGAAATCTTATCTTTGCAACACATCATTCCAAGTGTGTTAAGATCGACTGATCATTTGATTGCCAACCAAAGATGCTTTTGATGGGGCAGACCACTGGGGGCCTCATATTTATTACCCTACTCACCTGCACCTGTGACCATTTTTACGTTTTGTATATCAATTCAGGATTGGCCTCGACCAATGGGCCTTTGGTTCAATGGTACTTTTTGTCTTGTGAAGGCTTTGCCTTCTTGAGATTAAGGGTTCAAGTTTCCTTTTACCCTCCCCTCCAAAAAAAAAAATATTTAAAAAAAGAAGAAGAAGATTGGCTTCGAGATATTGGTGTGCAACACAGTTTTGAATAGAAGTCTGAACGATGCATCTTGGTGGAATTATGAAATTACTTGTGCAAAATTGGGACCGTGCCTACTTTTTCGAGGAGATACCCTTTTCTGTTCTTCGAGAGGAGTTTCTTTGCGTGGATGCCACTCAAAATGAGGAAATTAACCTAGATATATGACCTGTTGCGTAACAAGTTGGTGGACCCAAATGGTAAATCATGCTGTTCATTAGAATGTGGAGTCCTGTTTAAATCCCAAGCAAAACGATTAAATCAAGAAAAACATTTTTTTGAAGTCTAGTCTTACGTTGTGAGCATCTAAAACAAAACAATCACATTCTCTCCTATACAGCCCGATATCCAGAATGGATCTTTGGTTGTCTTCGGTTAGCAAATTATATAAGTGGGACAGAAAATCTTGACAACTTTTCATCTGGGTTGGTGGTTTTTCCCCAAATTAAGGGAGCCTCATCAACCTCCCACTCCCTAACATCATCTCTGATTTGTTCTAAGCCTAATAGATAAGATAAAGCATGTCTAATACTGTGATATCGTTCTAATATCCATTGCTCATAATTAGAGCCGATTGGAAAACGGTATGCAATATGTAATTTGTTTTTTTCCCTCTATTTTTTTCTTACCTGCTAGTGGACTTCACGCCTCCACGTTCTTTATTTTAATTATTGATAAATTTTTTTGTTCCTGATTAAAAAAAAAAAACCTTATATTGAACGTATACTTGAGTAGTTTATTATTTTTCCGGTCTTCAGGTAATCGAGTCAGTTGTTGGCTATTGTACGTTCCTGTTCGATAGGTTCCCATTCAGGGGTGTCAACCAGCGTTTCACCCCATGCATTGGGAATTGGATGAAGATCAACTGCTCTATACGTTAAAGCAGTTCTAAAACCCGATGGGTTTGTCTGAAAATTTATCATGTTAACTGCAGTAAGGTTGCTACACAGAACCAACTACACTATTCCGCTCTTCTTCCTGTTTCCCTGGCTTCCTACTTAAATTAAAAGCTACATGAACTATTGTAATGATATTATGGTGAGAACAAGGCCTTGCGATTTATCTCTCATTGGGGATTCATGGCGCCTCCATAAAATCGCATGGAATGCGTAGGCAGCCATGTGAATTGCCATCCTGTTGTAAGAGGGTAACTGAACTTCATTTTCCTCTGCTTAGAGATAATTTGCTGTTACAAGGGACAGGGTTAGACATGTCATGGTGAAGAGTAGCAGTAGTTTGTGCGATATGGAGTCTGCTGAGTTGGGCATCCCCGTGGGTTCAGCACCATAGCCTGTTGGTTCTGAATAAGCCGTTGGTCCACTGGGGGTGTAAGGATTAACCGGCGAACTTATGCTGTAATTACAAACAATCATATGATTTTTATTTGCCTTCCTTGATGGCTGTAGAAATGATATTGGAAGTGGTGGGGAAATTTTACCTGGGTGGTGGTATTATTGTTGTCGGTGTTGTCGGTGTCACTCTTGACGATGCATAGTGACAGTTTCCAGAACCTAGAACAATGTAAGAAAAAACCCAATTGTTAAACCAAGTCCTGTAAGTGCAAACATGTAGTCATGGCCATACTGTAGAGAGTCTGCAGAAATTTTCAAAGCACAGAGAGAGTTCTGAGAAAATATGTTCAAAAGATGAAGAAGCTAAGCTCTACTGCAAAGATCCGCCAAGGATTCTGGAAAAAAGTTTGAGAATGAGTTTGTATGAGGGGAAACTAATTCATGTTGGAAAGAGAAGGTGCAGTTATCATTATTGAACTACGATCTGTACAAATGATTCACATCCTTTCCTTAGTAGGGTGCATCCCTAAACAAAATACCAATTCGGTTGTTTTTCACTAAACACCAAGATTTCTGGTGAAAGTGAAGGTTCGGACTCTAGTCCCGGCCTACGTCTCTTCAGGTCCGTCTTTCATTAAAGGGCTTCCTTGGAAGTACTTATAGAATTGGATTGTATTTTTATAATTTCACTTTCGATAGACCTACATCTCTAAGAGGAGCAATGGAGGTTAAGAGAGAAACTACTTTCCGTTGTTGGTTTGGGTAAAATCCTTCTTCTATTGTTCCGGGTGATGATGTTTGACTACTTGTTGAAATCTAGCATTGAATTCATGCTTGAGAATGTTTTGTGATTTAGCATCTATGTTTCTTCTCTTCAAACAAAAAATATAGATAGCATAATGATAATATTGAGTCCCCCGAAGGGATCAGTTGACTGAAGATATTGAATTAGCAGAGGAAGGGAAGGCACTTCAACTGGAATATTTTCACATCTTACTTGGGTCGGTGCCAGTAAGCATCGCAGTTCCTCCAAAAACGCAGCTTGTGGGAATTGGGTTCTTCTGGTAATAGTTATTAAATGCATACGAAGCATGGTCATGAATGGTGCTTGGTTCGTAACAACTTCCACCTGGTTGAATTGCTGAACAATCTGCACCCCCATAGCCACAAGCATAGTCAATAGCGACTTGTAAAGCAGTTGGTGAAGCAGTGGAGCTGGCAATGCACCAAGTCCCTCCAGATGATGTAGGGGTGGTTGTGGTCGGAGTTGGTGGTTCCATGGTGGTCGGTGGTGGCGGGCTTGCTGGGTTTACAATGGGGCTCGTCGTAGTTGGAGTTGTAGATGGAGTCGTTGGATTGACAATGGGAATGTCATCCAGGTGGGTGGTGAATTTTGAAGGTGAGGACATCATTTCATCTTCTTGATAGTCCAGCCTTTTGATTTGCAAGATTGCTCCAGGAGGGGGTTTCTCTTGGAGGCTTGAACCTGAAGAAGTAAGAATCATGGTAAGTTATTCTTTCCTTCCTTTTCCTTCTTTCATAAAGAATGAGAAATGCATATACCAAGTTTTCTTTGCATCAAAGCATCATGTCCAAACAAGATATGTGCATTAGTTGTTCCTTTATCTACTACATCAAAGGTTTGTAGTAAAGCTCAGAAGAGAAACCTCAAGTGTCAAGATTTGGAGGGGAATGGATATGAGAAAGGCTTATGCAAGGATGAGATGTGTTTAACACACTTATTGGCATTGGTTCTATTTGAAATGAAGTGATGAAAGAGGAATTGAAAATTTAAGGAGACTCGAGCGTACATTTGAGAAACAATCACCCTCAACTTATGGATTAGAATCATCTCTGGTACTATATTCTCTAACTGATCTCAATTCTAAATCAGACATAAGAAATCGACTGGAGACCTTTCATATTCAAGTCGATCCCTCACTAATACATGGTGGACCATCTAAAACAAAGAGAATTGAGAAATAGTACTGGAGACCATGCAGCAATGTTGCTTTCTTGGCTTATTGGATTTGATAGCTGCTGAGTAACGTTGTCAACTAAGGGGCTGTTTGATAAGGGGATATTTTTTTTTTTTTTGGGGGGGGGGGGGGGGGGGGGG